TATATATATATATATATATATGCATTTTACTGTATCACAATAAGAGAGAAATTTCATTAAAGTTCATTTAAAAATGGGCCATTCTTCATAATTACAATTTGTTTTATTTTCTTAATACAAATTGTATTTTTTTTAATTAAAATTTATTATAAAAAGATCAAATCACATCAATAAACCCATCCAATACTTACATAAATCTATGGCTATATCTACATAGATCTATATTTATATGCATATGATTACTATATCAAATTAAGAGAAACTTTCTCTAAAATTCATAAATAACAAAATGTGATTAATTTCGATAAGAATTTTGAGCGATTTATATCAAGTTACGTTTTATTATTGTATTCTCTAAGATTGGCTAGAGGATATGATACGAGCCCTCAGTCAACCTCATGTGCCTAAATACTCAACGAATCCGTACATTAGCGGGATCAAACCCTGAAAATCTGAATCATTTTCTAGTATGTAAAGAATCTATTTAAAAGAAAAAAATGACTAAATTTTAAACACATTATAACCTAACTTAATATATCTTTTTCTTTTTTTTTCCTTGAATGCAGAGCACAAGAATTGAAAATAAAATAAAAATTTTCAAAATATCAAATTTGAGAGCTCATTCTACCCGAATATATATATAAGCCATCTTGACCTAATAGCTGAGACTTCTTTCAACCAACAGGTGTGTCTATATCCAAATGTCTGGATGATTATGTGGATCGCATCATGCCGTTGCACAAGTGGTGTGATATGATCCATGTTATTGTTCGGACATCCACTTACGTAATACTTTTGAGTTTGGATGTGTGGAGGGGGCCTATATCCATATATATCTTAATTTAGCTGTGGGATCTTGTTAATAGCTCCCAACAGCTATGGATTACTTATAGTCACCGTTACATGAAAACTTTGCACGTGGAAAAGGATAAAAAGGGCAATGAGAGCGACGTCATGATCTGGAATCAGGAAAGAATGAGAGTTGGTGAAGAAAATGAATTGCGTTATAAGAAAAGTCTGCACTCAATTATTCTGAATATTAAACTGCCTTAATTTTCATTAACCAGCTCATGAGCTGCACTAATCGAGCTGCAAGCTTAAACTCGAGTTTAAAGTCGGGTTCATAAGTTAAACGAGCTTGAGTTTGAGCTTTATAAGACTTGGCTCAGAAGCTGGTGAGCTGACTCAATATACACAACATTCAGTGCAATAAGAGATTAAAAACTTAGAACTACTCATTATTTAATTTATGTTAGTGACCTCTTCTAATTTTGCACCCATTTATTATCATGCATGCAAGTTTTACAATTCATGAAAAATTGGTGGGTCTCATTGCTATCTTCTTCAGCCACGGCTTCCTCCAACTACATGTCAAGGGTGAGTTCCTCTCGAGTTGAGCTCTCAAGCCTCGTAATATGCTGACAAGCCAGGCACGAGCTCATAATATGGGTTCAACACAAACTCGAGCCCAACTCGAACTCATTTACAATTCTAACTCGTGCACTCTACTTTGGCACACTAGATTTTGACGGCAGTGTGAATAGTAAATAAATTGTTGGAAGGTCCAAATTCATTGTTTAGTAATTAGGTGGTCCCCAAGAGATGTATGAAACAAGTTATTTTGTTTTCTAAAGCAAGATCATTGGTTCTTGAGATTTGCTATTATAATAACCTCTTATTAATTAGAAACTTTGACTTTAAGTGTATTAGAAGGAAACCCCAAAGCTCTTATTTGGGTAAAAGCTTAAAGAAAAATGAGTGAGTAATTCAGTATTAAGAGAGATTTAGGGTCGGTAACTTGTGTTTATCCAGATAAACAGTTTATCCTGAAACGCAATCAGGGGATGGCCCGCGCGATTCGACCCGCGGCATACATTTAGTGTAAAAACCTAATCATGTTTTTGGATAAACTGTCAAAACGTATTTTCCAAAATGTGAGACGGCATTAAGCTGCCCCAAACGGACCCTTGGAGTTTGGTGCAAATAAATAGAGTAAGGTCAAGTATGATCAAATAAATATCATCATCAGTGATATCAACAAATAAATTATATTTTAAAAAAATCAATATTATTATACATAATGTTTAAAAATATCATAATTATTCTTACTACATGTTACAACCTTCTAATTGAAAAGAAAGATTTAACGACTTTTTGAACACAAATCCTCAAAATGTTCACCTGCAAGTAACTTTTGTCGGCACAGCATATTGTTCATCCAAAAAAGAGAAATTTACATACATGACACACAATTTTTATATATTTACATATTAACACCTAAACTTCAATACTTACACCCAGAACACTCAAATCTTTAACATCACATCAAAAACACCACTTCAACTACCTACTTACCAAGGTGTTATAAATGTAAATATCAAACTTTACATGTTAGAACTGTAAATCCATAAGAATTGTGTGGTACATATGCAAAATCACACCTCCCTCCCCGCCTAGACCTGTACCTGCCTGGGGTTGTTATCATCAACACTGCAGTAGATCTGAAGACTGTTTATTAGATTTCAAACTTGCTGTAGATTCAGAAGTAAGGTTTAATATCCTAATTGGCCTCCCAAGATTAGATTTTTCTTTCATTCTGGCAATTTCTAGAGCCTTAGAACATACAGGGAAGTAAAGGTCATCCCAGGAGTCGAGAATAACGCCTGAACCAAGGCATATGTTGTCTTCATAGAAGGCGGTAAATTGGCCGGCGGCTAAACCCTGATCATCTTCAGATAGGTGAATTGCTGCAATTTGTTCAGTTCCATTTCCAGTTGTTTCTAATCTTATGCTGCAGCCGTAGAAACCGGGGCCGTGTCGAACCTGAAAGTAAGATTACTTTTTATATTATAGGTTTTGAGAAAAGCTCCATTGGTCAACACATTTTAATTTCTGAAAGCTGATGTATTCAAGATGATGCAATTCTGATGCATTTATACATCTATATAATATATATACATCTATATATATATATATATACATATATATATATATATATATACATATATATATATATATATATATATATATATCAAGCGTGCAGGAAAATTTGCTACAGTAGAGTATTAGATTACTTAGCATAGTTCGAAGATTCAACACAAAATTAAAAGAGACAAGAAAACTAATAATGACACCAGAATTTTTTTACGTGGAGAACCTGTAAATAAAAAAATCACGGGATATGGCCCAGCTGAAGAGTTCTACTATAAAAATAAGATTACAGTTGCAACCATTTTGTCTCACAGGCGAGAAATAATTACATAGTTAAAAGACCAATTATAACATCGATGTACAAATGAATTTGTTGTAGGAACGAGTGGCAACTAATTGCGGTTGGCGGCTGTTGGCAGGTGGTGGTCGGCGGATGGGCGGAGGAGGCGGGCAACGGTGGCAGGGGTGGTATTGGACTTTAGCTTTTCAAAACTTCAAGTTTTTTCACAAGCCTCAAGCTCTCTCCCCCTCCTCATGATAGGGTTGGGGCTCTATTTATAGAGTTTTGTGTGTAATTAATGCATAAATATGAATCACTTTGATGATCGGACAACTCAAAGGACTTTCCTTGAACAAAAATTGAGTGTATTAATGATGTTGAAATTGCGCAATTTTGGGCTCGTTGGATTCGTTTTGTCGAGACGCTCACTTCGACTATGAACTCGTTGGAGTAGACATTTGTTTGACCTCCCAAATGTGTCAGAAAAACTTTCAAATATGATTTAATAGCTTGATTAGGGCTCGATCTGGTTCAAATTAGATTAATATTGGTACCATTGGGTTCGTCTCGTAGAGTCAATCAATTTGACTATAAGTTTGCTGAAATCGAGCACTAGATGATTTATAATCAAGGTTTGAATATTTCATGCTCAAAAGGTTGCTTCGAGATTCATGTTGGATGATGAAAATTTATTGGTATATATATTATTTATAAAAAGCCCAAAAAGGCTAATATATTAACCAGAAAGAAAGATATAGATACAATGCGTTGAAGGGCCCAAACATGGCACCCTGCTAACACCAAAACCACAATGGGTTCCAAAACTAGAAAATACAAAAAAGTGCATTAGAGACATAAAGAAAAAAGTCTAAAAATGTTGACATACATAGTATCAAGTGGCTAGAGAGCAACCCAATTTGATTTTGTCTCTGCCTCTGGTTCTAGGGAAGGAGCAAGCTAATAAGTTGGTAAGATGATTGTCATTGCCAGTAGTAACTAATGCATCATCCAAAATGTTCTCGAGCTGTAGTCGGCCTCCATTCTTTTTCTTCCTCCTAGAATAGACCTGTCATTCTTATTCTGAGGATTGGCTGACCTGATCTTGTTCTAAAGTGTGTTGGAGATGTGCAGATTGTTAAACACTAGAAGCAACTACATGTTGTACCGGCTGATCTGTTATTGGATCAAAAGAGTTCTCTCGTGTTTCTTGACAAGTGAGTCTTCTTCAATAACAGTGGGTGGTATAAGAACAACTGGATTTATAGTTGTAGTATGTTGTTCTTCTTTAGGAACTGCGGTGTTGGAAAGAGGATCGGGTTGCATTTTCTCAACAGGGATAATAGATGGTTGTTCTTTAGCGATATTCAGCTTTAGATGAGGATGCAAACGATAGTAAATAATAGAGCTATGACCAAACATACTACAATGAGAGCAATAAGTATGGTGTGATTCGATTTTCACATTTTGTCAATACCCGTTGTGAGTGGTTCTAATCCAAATCTCATCCGGAGCTGGTTGAGTGATATCTCTCTCAACAAACACACAAGCCACAGAGGGTCTGGTGACAGCAAGCGTAGGACTATCAACCCTGAGAGGCTTACCGTAAACAGTTGCTGAGGAGTAGAGAATTTTCAAGTTGAACAGATGTAATTTTAACCTCAGAAATTTAATCCAGATTGGAATAATAGGGGACTCCGCTTTTTGGCAGAAACCAACAGTCCACTTCAGAATTTTCATATAACAGTTGTCGATCTTGCTAACTTTCCGAAAAAATATGCGAGTGTAATCGACATCATGAGACAAATCGACATCATGAGACAACTCGACATCATGAGACAACTGAATCAGTATGTGTTGACCGTCAAGTAAACCAATATTCTAACTGCCCAATAGCCTCATAGCCTCAAAATCCTTCCGAATGATCTCCAGTTTTGAGTGACCATACAGAAATTTCCCCACTAGAGCAAAGCGACAGGAGGACGCGAGAGTACTTGTTTCAAACTCTGTGAGAATAAGAGAAAACTTCCCATTTTTTTCTTAATTTTTTTATGAATGTATGATCACCACCTCCTTCAAGAGTGTCGTGAAAAGATTGAGGAACATTGCAGAACTTGTTAATATGAAAACCAGACTCTGAACCTGAAAGAGAAGCACGAGTAGGAATAGGAATGTCGTCGGCAAGTGCAGTGGCATAATAGCGGATCGTGGATGCCATCTCCAAAGCAGCTAGGGGAGCCGCTGGAAATAGGCGAGCAAAACTGCCGCCTACGAATGACGCGAGCAGTCCAGCAGGTCAGATGTGGCGGAGCAGTCAATCGGCCTTGACGAAGAAGACGACGAAGACTGCGATTTCGTCAAGGCACGACGAAGTACGACACGGAAACAACACAGCAGATGGAGTCACGAAGCCGAGAGAGGCGAAGTCAAAGCAGACGGAGTCGAGCTGACGAAATCGACGCAGACGAAGCGCGACGAAGGAACAGATGAAGTCGAGCAGACGACAAAATATGACGAAGGAGCAGGCTGTGATTTCGATCCGGTGAAGAGATAACGAGGGCTACTCTGGTTGCCATGAAAACGCGACGGGAGTAAACCCTAGCAGAGACATCGCGACAATGATAAATCAGATTGGCGATCCTCACAGATCTATATATATATATATATATATATATATATATATTTGTGTGTGAGAAATGATGTGTATTATTATAGAAAAATTAATAATAAGATTTGGGTGTTATATACATATATATGTTAATATCAATGTTTGAGAATTAGATATGAAAATGCATAAGAATTATGTGCTACATATATAAATCCACCAAGAAATGGCATAGACATATATAGGGGCATTTACTTACATATCACACAATTCTTATGTATTTACACATCTAATATTTTACATTTATAACATCCAGTATTTCATATCACATCAAAAGTACCAGCATTTTAACTTTAAAAAGTGAAATAAAATTTTTCATGCATAGGTGAGGTGGCATGAATGTAAAATTTGAAGTTCAAGTGTTAGATATGTAAATACATAGGAATTGAGTGGTATGTATGTAAATCTTTCATATATAAATATATATAGAATAGCATCATAATCAATGTTTAACCATCTTGTTGTATTTAATCTTTCATTTAAATTGTGAATTGGAAAATGTTAAGAAGCTTCCTTGCTATTTTATATGTCATAAATGCATGGTTGAAGCATTTTAAATCAAAATATTTATTTATAATTGTTGAATCCAAGAGTGTCTGAGAAACACACTCAAGGTATAGAATGTTTTGCAGAGAAAGATAGGAAAAAGTACGATGGAGAACAGTAAGAATGTGTAACCCCCTATTCCTAATATGGACCCTCTATTTATAGGAACAGGTCTCAGCCTTCCAAAATTACAGATTTGCCCCTTGTCATTAGCCTTCAGAGGAACTTTTAGTAATTACAATGATATTTGAATATGATAAGACTGGCGGATTGATATCGATCGGTAAAAAGTTCGTCAACCGCTCGCCTCGCCTTGACTCCATCAGTACTTGATCCGAAGCCGAGTAATCTACTGATCGGCCTTAGGGCCGATCATCGTCTTGTGAGAAATCCTCTAGCACGGTCTTTTGGTCGCTCGATCCAAATGCCTCCCTTTGCTAGCATTCAATCTGTCGATCGCAAACCAGGTATGTCCGATCAATCACACTATACTCCCAAGTCGTGTGTGTGCCTTGAGATTTGTGCTGACATGTTTTTCGTATGCATATTTAGTTCTCTGATTATCTTGCTCTTTGAACAAGAAAATCTTTTTAATATGTAAGAAATAATTAAATTACATTATTGCGTAATAATGAACTTACCTGAATTTTTGTGCCTAGACTGTTATAAATAAGCCATAGAATAAGGGAAGTTTGTGCATTCTCCTTCTCTGCTCGCTCCTTGGATCTCTCGTCTTCTCCCTTCCGTATCTGCTACTATATACAGGAAAAGAGCACCATTTGCTGACAAGGACGCCCTTCTAAAGGCTATGCGTGACATGCGGGTGAAAGCTCGTAAACCAGATATAAAGCCTAAACCGATGAGCTAAGTTCATGCCGAGGAGATGAGCCAAAAGAGAGCTGCACAGAGGTTAAGGGCCGATGATCGTAGGGACCGGGTCGGATCCTCGGATCTCCTCGAGGGTTTGTCGTGGGGGCAGACCAAGGAAGGGTTCGAAGGTCATCCAAACGCCCACCTCACTGTCCATCTATCAAAGGTTGGTGTTCCTGTTGGAGGGAAAGGAACGCTGACCCAGACCGTTGTGGGGGAAACAACTCCTTGGGGTGGTCTAGATGAAGCGGCGTCTGGAGTGCAAACATCGTTCGAGTTGCCAAAGAGGGGTCTTTCTTCCGCGAACGGAGAGCTAGAGAAGGTTGCTAAGGGTGTCACCTCTTATACCACATATGATTGGAACCGTATCTTGGGTATGTGACCTAGATTGTTTCTTGGATACTTGTATTTTCTTTCTTGATGGAGCTATAGAAATCTTGACGATCGATTCTGCATCAACAGATACTAACTCTGACCTTGATCCGATCGCTGTTGAACAAATTGACGTAGGGGGAGTGGTCACTGCGGAAAAGG